GCCCAAGCAGGCCGAGGTTCTGACAGAGACAGCTTCTCTGCGACGAGTGCGCCGACATCGTGTCGCTGCTTCGGGTGCACAACTGGCGCGTGTGCCTCGTCTGCGCGCGAGGCCGACGACATCGACTGCGCGGGCATTCAGAATTTCCTGGACAGACCGGTGAGGCAGCACTCCTTGGCCGACAGGCAAACGGCCCAACTCTGACTGCGGCAGAACACGTTTGTGAAGCAGTATGACTGGAGACACTGCCCTGTCTGCGACGACGCGGACGATCTTCTGTTACGCCATGCGGTAGGCAGCCCGAATGCGCAACCAGTTCCAGGCCGCTGACTATGCAGGCCACGTCGTTTGCAGCGTTTGTTGGGGCAGGGGAAAGCCGAAAGGAAGTGTCCGACGTGCCGAGCCACACGCCTGACTATCATACATCATCTTTTCTTCTTAAGATTGATACTTCTCTTTTTATCTTCGTCGTCTTTCGCCTCGCGCTCTGTTGAGCCAGTCACTCATGCCGCCGTTGTTCAGCCAACCAGGGGCAACTGGCTTAGTCACCCAAAATACACCCCTTACACCGGCGGACGCGCCTTGTGTAGATTCATCAAATATTTTATCAGAAAAGCATGCATCCCTCGGCATATATCGCAAGCACGACACCGTCAACATGACGAGCGCGGTCACGGCTCCGATGCGCGCCGGTGGATGGAACGTCATCCTCACCATTGCCAACCAACAGTATCTGGGGGGTATCTACCAGAACCCGCGCGAGCCGACGGTTACGTTTGGCGACTTGTGCGCTGAGCTGGCCCTCTGCTTTGACTATCCAGGCGGCGGAAAACTGCTCAACAACGTCGACAACGTTGACAACATCAACAGCGTCAACAGCGTCAATACTGCCAACACCGTCAATGCCGCCAGCCTCATCGACAGCGCCAATAGGGACAGCAACCAAGACCAAGCCAACATCAACGAAAGGCCATGGTTCGACATTGCATTCGCGCTCACGGAAACGCCAGACGAGGCAGATTCCCCTGTCAATCATCCATCCTTCATCACAAGTGAGAGGTTTGACGAGCTGGTTCCTGGCCTAGCCTCTGAAAGCGCCACGAGGCGGCGAACCGTCACCTACCACATTGTGCATCACAAGGCTTGCAATATTTCTGGTTCCTTCAAAGACCATATACGAGGTTCGTCATTCCTGGTCCGGTTGTCATGCCACCCTCTGCTCACAGGGTCCCAGCCAAATGCGTCTACAGCCTCCCTGACCCCCGCCGTCGCCATCACCCCGCCTTCCTCCCTTACAACAAATCTCCGGCCGACCCTCGTCTCAACATAATGCCCCTTCGACGCAAAGCGAAAGCGCGCTCACAGTCTCCGCCGAAGCGCTCCGGCTCAACCTCTCCTAACAAAGCAGACGACGCAGCCGGTGGCCCCGACAACCAAAGCTATGACATGATCGCCCCCGCCGACATGGACATCGACATTGACGCGGCTCGCAAGACCATCAGTGATTTTCGCATGGCCTGCATCGCCCAGGCTAGCTGCTGTGCCATATCGGGCGGCGGCCGGCCCTGGAGCGCGCTGCAGCTCATCGGCCCCGGCGTCCAAGCCTGCCACATTGTGCCGCAGCAGCACTACCATTTGTACCCTTTGGGGGACCCGAGCGATACCACCCAGGACAGCGCGCGACGGCTGTGCCAGGCTTGGGAGAAGACGTGGAGTCCCGGCAACGGTATTCTACTCATGAAGCATATACATGACTTTTTTGATGCGCGCCTCTTGTCCATCCACCCAACTACGCTTCGTATCCGGGTCTTTGTCCCCTTCGAGGATCTTGAACTCTATCACGGACGAAAGGCGCAAATCCCACCCCGGGTTGACCGTAGTGCGCTCGCTCACCACTACGACATGTGCTGCATCGAGAACATGGCCGCCGAGCGCCCGAATATCATTCTATCATCGCTTGACGCCACCAACAGAAGCAGCTCGGCCATAAGCCTTGTGAGTCCGTCGAGCGGAGGCAGCACTCCGCTAAGCGGACGGCCGAGCCTCCCTATGACGCCCTCTTCCGGAGATGCGTTGCAGACTGCGCCGCCCGCAGGCGACCCGTCTAAGAGACGGCGACCAACCCGTAACGGGAACGAAACGCAGGGCTGCGTCAACGACGACGATGAGTATTGGTCGGAGGAGGAGGTGGTGCAAGATTTGCTGAGGGGAAGGAAGAGGCAACGACCAGACGACTTCAGCTTTGATGGCTACGTCACGCAGTCCAATAGTCGCGAGTTTCTGGCCAACGTCAACCGGGAGCTGCAAAAAGATCTTAGGCTGGCCTGAGGTTTCTGTCTATAATTCATGATACCCCGAGGGTTTACCCTGCCGTCTTTACATTTTGAATAGCAGCCCATGTCGACGTGAAGAGAATTCCAATTCGGTGGACAATTGCAAGCCTGTCTACACTGACTGTAGCCCAGCTTGTACCAGGAGGGATGCATTTCCGGCCGTTCCCTCTACGCATCACATCCTACGCCGATAATTTCTTGCACCAAAAAGAGCTTCTGGAAATGAGACTGTCCTCGCCAATTTGACTTCTACTCTATGAGTTCACAGAAGTGGCATTCCATCCATTCATTCTCAACTCACTAGTTCTGCCAAAGGCGTCGACCCATCACATTGCACCATTCGATCCTCCAACTTGCGGAAAATATCGTCTATATGCTCTCCCGCACCTGAAAGGTGCAAGATATGTCCGATAGCGCGGTGTAGAGCGAGGAGGCGTGGCGCCGGTGGGTTGATGCTTTGATCTGCTGAGGTACAGCGCCCTTGTGACAGACAGCATTCTCTGGAATCCAATCCCTCGAAATGACCTGATTTCATAGGTATGCGGGCGGTTGGCGATTTGCGTGCAGTAGACGTCGAAATTCCAAGGGCTCGATGCAAATCCAGAGTCAGAGTTATAGCATTGTGCGGTTGGTCAACGTCCGCGCCATTGGTAAGATGAGCAACGTCATTGTCGAACATTTTGAGAATCTCCAGGGCGGTCTTTTTGGACTCGCTCTAGAAGTGTAGTAGTGGCGCAGCACAGATGAAGGCATGCAAAACGCTTCAAGTGAAAGAAACGAGAGAACAGTACAAATAAACAGGAATGTGCGAGAGTGATGGAGATGCTAGGAAATAAGAAGGCCGCGGTAGGAGGAGCAGAACCTTGTAAAGACTGACAAAAATAAGAAGAGTGACGAGTACGTAGCAGTAGACGCAACGTTGAAGACATACCAATTCTTCTGTTTCCGATCTGACGCGGACCAATAAGTGCGGTAAATTGTGTGCGACATCTAAATGACTGATGTTATCATCCTCGATAGAGTCGCCTTCATCATCCAGTATCTTTCCTTCTTGGGCTTCTTGTTCGCGTGCCTCAAGGTGATCATGGCGCAGCATAAGCTTATCGTGGCTTATCACTTCGCCTGCGCAATGGCGTTTTTTGGCGAGTGTGTACGGTACATGCATGGTTAACATGATTGCGTCGAGGTACATGACAACGAGGTCAACGCTCCCCGGCGGTACACGGGTCAGACACCCCCGGTCGCCTGGATACGCGTCGCGGCATGGACTCGGCGCCCGCGTTGTGAAGCCTGTGACTGAGTCCGTAGCGTTTTGCGGAGCGTGCCCATGTTGGCGCACCAGACATGGCACCGCCCGACGAGACGAGGAATCATGCGCAAGGATATCATCTGCCAAATATTGGCGGTATTTGATGCGGCAAGACGCCAGAGAGGGCACTCGTCACAGCGCAGTCTGCCCCTCTATACCCTGTCCGTACTGACAAACGCTTGACTATGAGGTATCATTGTGCACATAGCGACAATTCACGCTTGTGTGCGACATGGGAAGCAAAGAATGAGAGTGGCATGGCCATCAATCAACTTTCTGCGACTTTGAGCTCTCCGGGATGCAGATCGGGCAAGATCGCTTAAGATTGTAGCGCAAAGGCGGTAAGAAACGCTTATGCCAAGAGGCAGCGCGCTTGAGGACCCTGAATGCAACCGGTTCCTCGTGGTTCCATCCGCTGGCAGAGGCTCCCAGCTTGCCAAGATTCGATAGAACGCAAAGGCCGTGCGGGGTACGAGTTGCGCGACAGTCTCAGGGAGATCGGGATCGCGGGACATGGCTATGACTTAAGTAGGGACGAAGATGGATAACAGATCAGAGACTACTACCGATTTTGCGTTGTCGTGCCGGAGAACTGCGGTATTGTTTCTCGTCCGAAATGTGATGTCGGCACGGGCTTGCGATGTGGGGGTGCAGGGCATGTCTCCTTTGTCGCAATATACGCGCGCTGTCACGTGCAAGGACGGAAGCTTCAGCTACGATATGGACATGCCGCGTCGATGGTGGCTACAGATGGCGTCTTCCGAGACTCAGACGCAGATTCAGTAATAGCATATACCGACTTTGCGGAGCTGCGAAACAGGAAGGAGACGCACATCATAGCTCTTCTACAAAAAGCCGAAGGAGAGAAGAAGGAAACCACAGGACGTATCGCTGAGGAGCAACGGCGCATCAAGCCCAAGAAAGCAGCAGAGGACGCGCAAATAGCATTGATTATGGCAACGATGGCGCAGGAGATGTTGAAGCGGTGAACCGAACCAATTGAGTGCGTGGGTGAGGGTCATTGGCCTTAGCAAGACAGATCTTTCTGTACCGAGCCTTGGTTCGAGAAAATTTGCGGAAACATTCGACGCGAGTGCGGGGTTCGTCATACAGTACCGAAGCGCTTCATTAAATGATCAGATCGGAGACTTGCAGCAGCTTGATCGCTTGCTGAGGGAGAAACGTCCGCCTGGTGACCAGCCCGGCGCGGCTGAGGGGGCAAAATGTTGAAACATTGTACTACTAAGGACATGAAATAATAGGACTTGTCTTGATATGTGATCAGCGCCTCTATGAGCAAAGTCTACACTAAGCAATCATTCTAGAAATGGAGTTGCGACGCACACATGTGGGCCTCATTAGTGTCTTTTGTGAGAAGTCACAGCATGAAGACAGTGACCAAGGAATTGCCTAGCAGGTATGCTGGTAATGGAAAGCCATGTACGTTTCAACGAAATAACGCTCAAGGTCATCACTGCACTATAGTAGGCCGCACCTTTTCCCGAAGCGAACCAGATTGTGGCAGCATCTTTTGCCATGGTGTGAAAGCGCCAGGGCCGCTCGACCGTGCAGAGCTAGGCGACTCGATGAGGAGGTACATTGTGACCATGGCCTGTTTAGCTGCAGACGGGGCACCATACGAAGATGACCTTGAGAGCTGTCTGCATGCGCGTGTGCGAAAGCGGAGCTGAATTCTGGCAGCTGACAGCTCCCACCAAGCCCATACATATTCCAGCAGGTCTGGTCGATTACTGCGGCAGTAGCAACCCTGTGCCGGTCAAATTCGCCGCCTTGTTGAGGGCCCTTTACCGCCGCGGGCTCGTGGGCGATGTGCACGTTTACGTCTTGGGCCTGGTGGAAGCTGCGGCCGCCTAACTGGGCGTTTTCCACCGTATTTGACGGCATGGCTCGCTTCGCCTTGTGTTCGCCTGCCGTAGTACTCCACTAAATCCGGGGCGACTTTCCACATTTTTGATACTGGCTCTAGTGAGTACGACTCCTCGTCGAAACCTGTCCATTGCCATTCGAATTTCTCATCCTCTGTTTCGTCAAGAATCCTCAGTGGCTGGTACATTCTGTTCTTAGGCTTAGGTCGGCCGATGCCCTTCCATAGCTCGAGAAGGCCCTTCTGATTATCAAGTTGCACGTCTCTCTCGTGGACCAACTCAATAATCTCGTTCGATCCGACAGGCATCAGTCTCAAGGACAGAATGCCCTGTTTGACCCACTTGTAGCCTTTGTACTCCCATTCTCGGCCATCGTAGTAAATCGTCCTTTTCGAAATAGATTTGCCTGCTCGCGGTTGCTTGCTCGGCGACAATTCATGCTGGCTTAGACAAGCAAGCGTGATAACGTCGCTTGGCAGAGCTGCTAGGCTCGACGATTCAGTCTCGCTCGACACTGCTGATTCTATTAGCGACGCGGTTTTCCTGATCTGCGCAGAATGTTTTGGCGATTTTGCGTCATTCGACAGTATCTGTTCGTTTGCTGTGTTTGGATCGGAGTTGGCTGGCGCATCACTATGGAAGGTTAGCGATGTCGGGTAGGCAGGCAACCGCAGTTAGCGTACGCTTCAACCATCACAGCCTCGGGAGCTCGCCCTTCCTGTGACGGCGGCGGGTTCAGCAGGTCAGCCAGAGCGAACATGCTGAAGGCTAATAGCTAACTAGTAAGACAAGGGAGATGTTGAACTCACAAAGCTTTGCGCAAAAACGAGGCAATGAAGAACTGGACACGCGAAGCTGGCGCGCTAACTTTCGGTGGAGTGCAGGCCGGAGCACCCACTTGCCGTTCTCGGTGCATGTAGGCAGCAGAAAGCCGATGCTCATGCCTGGGGTGAGATCGCAGTTGGTGTTCGGTGGGCAGCATAGAGCAACGTGTCAATGGCGTGGAAAGCCACCGCCCATGCCATGGTCGAGCTGAGTAGCCGGCGTGTGCAGCATGTGCAGCAAAAAGAC